TGAAATACCAATGAACGTTATATCAGCAAAACGAAAAGATATAAGTCTTAACCCCGCACAACTTTGGCACGCTCGACTGGGTCATGTTTCCTTGAGAAGGATGAACAAATTTGTGAGTGAAGGATTGTTCTCCTTGGAGGACGTGAAATCACTTCAAACTTGTGTATCCTGCCTTAAAGGAAAAATGACCAAATCTCCCTTCAAAGGGAAGATGGAACGAGCCGAGGGTCTTTTGGATTTGATCCATTCAGACGTGTGTGGTCCACTAAGCGTTAGTGCTAGGGGTGGTTTTAACTACTTCATTACCTTTACCGACGATTATTCTAGGTATGGTTTCGTGTACTTAATGAAGTATAAGTCTGAAACTTTTGAAAAGTTCAAAGATTTTAGACACCAAGTAGAAAACCAACTCGGTAGACGTATTAAGAAACTACGATCCGATCGTGGTGGAGAATACTTAAGTACTGAGTTTATAGACTATCTTAAAGAGAATGGGATTCTGTCTCAATGGACTCCTCCTGGAACTCCTCAACTTAATGGAGTTTTCGAACGTCGGAATCGAACACTGTTAGACATGGTTCGATCTATGATAGGGTTCACCGAGCTACCGGCATACCTGTGGGGTCATGCACTCCTAACTGCCGTGTATTTGCTGAATTGGGTTAATACCAAAGCAGTTAAGTCCACACCTTATGAACTTTGGTACTCCAAGAAACCCACGTTTAAACATATTAGGATATGGGGTTGTCCCGCTTACGTGAAGCGGCTAGTGGGAGATAAGTTGGATAGAAAATCCGACTTATGCTATTTTGTGGGGTATCCCGAGGATTCCATGGGATGAGAATTCTACTATGTTTCCGAGGCAAAGGTGTTCGTCTCGAGAAATGCTGTGTTCCTTGAGAAGGAATTTCTATCGGATAGAAAGGGCAGTGTAGTTGATCTCGAAGAAGTTCGAGAACCACAATCTGAAGTTCAAGCACAACAATCAGATAATGAACCAATTCAACAAACCACTAATATACATCCTGAACCGCCGCTGCGTAGATCCGAAAGAGTTCGGAGAGCGCCCGATAGGTTATTCCTCGTTGATGAAGTTGACCTAGGATGTGATCCTAGAACTTTCAACGAAGCTGTATCGGATACAGACAAGGGACATTGGCTTAATGCTATGAAATCCGAAATGGACTCTATGTACTCCAACAGGGTATGGACCTTGGTAGATCCACCCGAGGGAATCGTTCCCATAGGCTGCAAGTGGATCTATAAGAAGAAAATTGGAGTAGATGGAAAGGTATCGACCTACAAGGCTAGATTGGTAGCGAAGGGTTATACTCAAAAGCAAGGAGTTGACTATGAGGAAACCTTCTCTCGAGTTGCTATGCTCAAGTCCATTAGGATTTTGCTGGCCATCTCTGCGTGGTATGACTACGAGATATGGCAAATGGATGTGAAGACCGCTTTCCTTAATGGGGACATTGAGGAAGAAATTTACATGGCGCAGCCGGAAGGCTTCATATCTTCTGGGGATGAGCAAAAGGTTTGCAAACTCCAGCGATCCATTTATGGATTGAAACAAGCATCCCGTAGTTGGAACAAAAGGTTCGACACAACTATCAAAGAGTTTGGATTTGTGAAAAACCCGGGAGGAACCTTGTGTCTACAAGAAGGTTAGTGGGAGTGCAGTGACTTTCCTTGTACTTTATGTTGATGACATACTACTCATTGGGAATGATGTAGGGATGTTACAGTCAACTAAAGTATGGTTATCCACACGTTTCTCGATGAAGGATTTGGGAGAAGCATCCTACGTATTGGGAATACGGATCTATAGAGATAGATCGAGGAGATTACTTGGCTTGTACCAATCCATGTACATAGACACCGTTCTTAAACGGTTTAGCATGGAAGATCCTAAGAAGGATTCGTGTACCAGCTAGTTGCGAGAAAACGCTCGAAATCCATGCGTCCTCAA